TTCATGGTGAGAGTTACGTGGAGAAAAAGCAGATAGATGGGACATAGTTGAGAAGGGTCATGACATCACCTGTAATAACAGAGAAAGAAAGGAGTTCATGTCAGAAAAAAATTGGTCACTTCTAGATCACTGGGATGTTTTCTGTCCTGGTAGTAGACAGTTACCTCGTCATTACTCAATAGCATAATTGCCAAAAGCCTGCTAAACAGATGAATAAATGAAGCTTAAATAATACACAAACGAAACGGACTACAGGTGTACAATAGAGTATCTACAGTTTCAGTCAATGCATTTTCAGAGAATGCAAGCCCAGCTCTGTTCTATGGAGTTCCTGAGCAGTTTCCATGCTGGCAGCACACGTTATTACTCTTCACATAGGACTTTTGTTGCACCTTTCTTTGAAGCATCAGCATCAAATACTGTGATTGCAGCTAGTTGGTGGGCAGAAGAAAATTGTTGAGAAGTGTACTATGTGAGAAATGCTGGTGCAGAGCAGGTTGTGGTTCCTTCATCTGTTACACGATGTGATGAATTGCTGGTATCAACGTATGGCATCTTTTCTTTGGAGTGTGTGAATGTCACTGAACGGTAAAGTAGAAGTTTGGAGGAGATTTATTTCCGTGGATGAATGATCTTCCAGAAGTTCATGAATACTGTAGGGAGGGCAGAAAATTTTTGAAGGATTGACTAAGTAATGGTCATTATTCAGCATTATTAATTCATTATTTGCCTGAGTTTAGAGAGATTGTGTGAATAACTATTGTAACTGTGTTCTTATGTGCTTAAGTGAGAGGCGTCATGAGGTAGCATAGGAAAATTAATATAGTAGTACTAATTAAACTAATTTGGATTGTGGCATCTGGATTAGAAAAGGCAATGTTTTGGAGGGCTCTTAGAAACAGATATTTTGTTTTTAGAAGATTAAAAAATGACTAGTTCCATCCAGGGCATTGAGTCATATGTTTAAAACTTTCTAATTAACTTTTCCCCTCCAGACAATAGAAAATACTCATTTTCTACAGCAAACAGTCTAGAGGAATCTTCTCATGCTCCTCAGTCTCACTTTATTTGTGTAAATGACTGTCAGGATATACTGTTTACCATCCATTTCTTGCAAAGCTGTAGGGTACCACCAGAATGTGATTTCTCTATGTTTCAGGATCATTTTTTCAGATTTCAGGTCCAAGTAATAGAATTTGCAAAGTCTGGTGGGGAAGTAGAAGGCTAGCTCCCATGAAAACAATCACAGCTTCAGGCTTCTATTTTTAAACAGGCTCCTTCTACGAGTCTAAAACCTTACAGATTCAGAAGATTAAATTAGCTAATGGTGTTTTTTCTTTTTCCAGTTTTCTTTTTGTCCCTAATTACCGCAGGTTCTTAGTTTCTTTCCATGCTATGTTTCCTGCTGTTTCCCAGAACTTGTCCACTATTTTGTCTTCTCCATTCCCATGTTTCCACTACTTAGGGCAAGGAGCCTGCCTTTGCTCTCATAGAGGAGCTGAATGAGCACTTGAGTGCCTCGGTGCATGGCAGTAACTCTGAGGCCCATGCTCTGGCATCTGCTGAGCTATTGAAGGAGCCCAAGAACAAGAGGTACATTGAACCTGAGAGTGTCTTAGATATTTCATCTAAAGTGCTCACACGAGGCAGAAGTGCCCGAGTTGAAATGGTCGAGTGTTTGACTTTGACTTGGCCATTACCAAGCAAAAGGTTCACAGTTAATGCAGTATTGCCTATGAATAAGAACTTCTTTTTTCTAGCGCATAACCATCCAGAGATAATGTAGGAGTTTTATAGAAAATTGTAATTTTTCCCCTAAAACTAGGTTTGTGTAAAATGTTGTCATTAATCTTTAGGGAAAACTGTATCTGAATTTCAAAGTTTCTTTGACAGTGGCTTTTTTAAGGTGCATATTACTGAATGTCTTTAGAGTAACACTGCATTGTCTTGTTTTTTTCTTCCTTACGCTATATGTCTATATTTAATTGAAAATAATGAAAGGTCTCCTTGGGTTGAACTTGTAAAAGATATTTTCCGTCAGTGGTGTAAATAGCGTGAGAGGAATGCAGTTAGTCCTGTCCCTTGCACATAGCTCTGTAGGGGCTGGGTACGCTGGACTCATTGAGGAGAAGGGCTCAAAGCAACACGTGGGAACTTCAGCTGGGTGACCCATGCTCACATCTTCCTATTGGCTGGCTTCCATTTCCTATCCACAGTGATACCCTTTTAAAGGATAAACAAACTAGTTCTGGCATTTTTCTGTCATCTTCCATCCCTTCCTGCATCAGGTTTTCCCACTGCTTTTCTACCACAGAAGACAATTTGGAACTTTTTGTACCCAAGTGGCTATTGCAGTGAAGGATCTTGGGATCAACAGAGACACAGATTTTCAGATCTTTTTCAATGAGGATCCAAAGCATGGGAAGTACCTCCCTGCTTTGTTCAGGAGGCTTCTGTAGTCAAAGAAACCGATGGGGGGCAAGATCACAGTTTCAAGAGAAGAATGTTTACAGTAAAGCTGGAAGCAGCAAGCGCTTCACTTATAAATTGTTTATGTGGTGTGACAAGGCTATTTGGGTAGACCTGCCAGGTCACACAGGAAGACTTATATTGCACAGTGCTTCACACCAACTGTTTGCAGCAAGGACACATACACAAGATAGTTCAGTGGCAGATCGGGGCACATTTTATAGCACTTTGTCACTGGCAAGAGTGCGTGATGTGCTGTCTGCCATGCAGCTCCTGCCTGTCCTACTCACAGGAGGACAGTGAATGTTTTTCTGCGCTTTGTGCTCTGTTGAGACCCTTAAAGTCAGGTCGGTGACATGAATGCTGGCAGAGCACTCTGACTGCACTGTGGTTTTTGCAAATCCAGCCAGCATTGGGTATACTTAGATACTAGGGGATTAGAGAGTGAAAGGCAGGCCTACGGAAAGAGGTCTGGGAGTTTGGGTTGACAACAAGCTGAATGTGAGCCAGCAGTGTGTCCTGGCATCCCAAAGGGCCGACCGTATCCTGGGCTGCCATTCGGTGAGAGGAGGGGCTGTCCCACACTACTCTGTGCTGTGCATCTCCAGCACTGGGGGCAGGGCTGGGTGCCACAGTGTAAGAAGGACATAGAACTATTAGAAAGTGTCCAACGGGGGCAATGAAGATGGTGAAGGGTCTGGAGGGGAAGATGCATGAGAAGCAGCTGAAGTCCATTGATTTGTTCAGCCCAGAGCAGAGGAGCTGAGGGTAGGCCTCATGGCAGCCTACAGAATGGCATGGAGCTGCGGCAAGGAGGGCCAGGGTGGGTGTCAAGAAAAGGTTCTTCACCAGCCGGTGGTCAAGACTGAACAGGCTCCCCAGGGCCTGTGGTCATGGCACTGAGCTGCAAGAGACCAAAGAGTGTTTGGATAGCGCTCTCAGTCGCAGGGTTTGGGTTTTAGGTCGTCCTGTGTGGAACCAGAAATTGGACTTGATTCTTCCAGCCCCGCATATTCTGTGATTCTGTCACCTTGGAGCCTGGATCACTGGTTTCTCCTCACAGCAACAGTTTCTTACCCTATTCAATACCAAAACTGCAGTGCAGCCCAGATGGAGCCCAGAATGTACCACCCCAGTGAGTTCAAGTGCTGCTGACAACCGTACGGGTGGCCAAGGCCTGTACAGCATCTGATTTCCTGACAAAGGCAGCAACATCCATTTCAGCTGCGCTTCTCAGACCTGTTTGAACTTTGCAGTGATTTTGAAACTTTGGGCTCTCAGCAAAACATTTATTGACTTTCAGAAACACTTGGAGGGCGGTGCTGTCTACGACACAGCAAGTGTTGCATCACTGGTTTGTAAAATTGAAATAGCATCTTGCAAGCTGCTTATGATTCATAAACGATAATAAATAACTGACGAAGGAAACAGTTGTTGCAGAGATGCTCTCATGTTGTCCTGCTTGTGGTTAATTGGTGTAGGAAGGGGAGGTAAGAAATCACTTTTGACACACCAAGGGAACACACATGTGGACCTCACACAGTTTCTCCTCCTCATTTTTGAAGCATGCTCATCTGTGGGACGAAGGTAATTCCCAAGAGTGTTTAACTTGTAGGCATTAATGAGCAGTGATAAAAATCCCAAACAAGAAAGGCCTTCAAAGATGACAAAAATGGAATTTTATAACAGTTTCTTCATCAAAACACAAGGTCTGGATCAGCCATATTAATCTCCTGCTGTGGCATTGTGCAACACAGAAGCTGAGACAGAACATGATGCTTAACTTCAAATAAAAAGCAGAGGGTGGGATTTTCCAAAAATCTGTTCTTAGCCCAAGTCTAATGTCATTGAAGTAAATGGGATTTTATCAACAACTTTGTGCGAGTCCTGCAGCGGAGTACTTTTAAAAATGATACGCCATTCCTGGTAACATCTTGCACATGGAATTAATTTTACTGAAAGTGAGTGAGAGCAGTAAATAAAGAGAACACTTTGCTGATTGAATTTTTATGTTTCCTTGGGAAATGATCAGTCATTTTTATCAGCTTGCTAAGAAATGGCCTGCAGTGTTGTTTTATCCAAATAATTAGAAACCTTCATAAATTTCCTAAAAATAGTTGGAAGCCTTTGATAACTTGCTGAAAAACAGGGTAGGCTGTCTGTTTTGGGAGAAGGTGTAGCCTGATGGGATGAGGCTAGCTAAGTTGTACAGTAATCATGAGAATAATTATACAGCCCTTTGTCCTTACGCTAATCCCCGCATCACTCCTGCAAGGTAGGATCTATATTGGTGCCTTAATCCTGTTGATTTTCTTAGTGATGTGAATGCCACAGGAATGATAAATCACAAGGCCCTTTCCTTATATTCAGCAGATTTGGTACATAGTAGTTGTGTAATTTGGCCTAAAGAAACCCCTAGGCAGTGGGTGTTCATGGGAAGCCTACAGAGGAGGTTATGAGGATTAAGAGTAATGAGGGAAAAGTCACCACCTGTTTCCCACCCCCCTCTCTCTTTCTTTTGTCTCTCCCAGGAGAAAAACCCTACAAATGTACCTGGGAAGGCTGCACCTGGAAGTTTGCTCGCTCCGACGAACTGACGAGGCATTACCGCAAGCACACAGGAGTGAAGCCATTCAAGTGTGCAGACTGTGACCGCAGCTTTTCCCGCTCAGATCACTTGGCGCTCCACCGCCGCAGGCACATGCTGGTTTGAAAAACGCTACCTATTCCAGCCGAGCTTAAGAGCTGGGTCTCTTAACTACCCGGAGTGAATTCAGCAGGGCTGAATCCCCTTCTACAGTGTTAGCAGGCAGGGCTGTCTCTGCTGTCTGTAAGAAAAAATAATAACAAAAAAAAAATAGCAGGAAAAGAAGTGCCACTCTTCTCCTCGCCATCTGAAGCTAACCCTATCTGCCCCTCAGCATGGTTACCCCAAAGGTGTCATCACAGTCGCCAGGGAAATAGCAGTCAAAATGCTACAGGAATGGGCATTATTTTACATGCTGCATCCTTTGAGAAAAAAGTGTTTATAGCTTGTATGTTTTTTCAGCTGTTGGACATTTTGTTCCTGAAAAATCGCTGCTGATTGGAGGATTAGATGCCACAAACCGATGATGATGATGATGAGAGCAAGAACGGTAGACCTTTGTTATCCCTTCTTTTCCCCTTGTTTTGAATACTACCTGGCCAGTGTCAGCATCAGCCTGAGCAGTACTACATAGGAGCTGATGAGCCGCATAGGAGTAGGCGAGAAGATCCTGCTGGAGAGGTTCCACCATCAGAGCTGAAGGGTTGCTGGAGCTGACTTTCGCAATAACAATGGTGGCATTTTAATGTTGTATCACAAGTTGTCATTATGCCCTAGAAGACACCAGCCATTTAACCCTTTTCTTTTATCCTTTCCTTTCCTTTCTCTTCTTTTGTTGTTGTTGAAGTCTGTAAAACAAAAAAGGGGCAGCAGCATTTCTGTTACAAGTACAGCATCAAGTATCTGTATTTTACCGTCGACTCATTTAGAACCATTTTCTGATTAATATAGAAAAAAACAATCTAAAAACTACTACACCATTCTCAAAGTGCAGTTTTCTTTCATGCAGGTATCCTCTTCCCCGTGACAGTGTTTGAATATGAGGAGACAGTCAGATCTTATACTTTCTAGTACCAAGGTTAGTGGTGTAGCCATCCATGAAATGGAATTGAATGTACCAACAATGCAAAATAGAGAAGAAACAGCTGCGTCTCTTTGCAGAGAAAAAGCAATAATGAGTAAAATGGCTCTCAAGACAATAATTTACTCCACATCAACAGAAGGGAGGTATGCAGAAATAGCACGTAAGATAATTTAAGTTAATCTTCCTGATGGTTTCACTGACCTGTTAGTTACCACAATTAAGTACTTTCATTTCCTTAAACATAATGCTTACTTGTGTCAGGAAAGCAAAACAGATAAAGGAAAGAGCTGAGTGTTGAGGAGTCAGTGGATGAACTGTAAGTAGGAAGAAGAAACAGTTGTACAGTGGTGCTCTGCAAGACATTAGGTTTCTCCCTGGGAGTTAGAGAATAACAAGACATTGCCAGCTGTCTGTTATGATACAAATGCTCCTTTATATGGGTATCAGTGGCTGCCTCTGCTGGGATTTTCAATCCAAGCCTTTTCAGATTAAATAAAAGGAAATTCTTGATCATTCCCATACAGCTCTGTAATTGTGAATCAATTTGTATTAATTAAATTATGTAGGGGAGAGAGAGAAACTCCTAGTCATCAGTTGTTCGTGAAAACAGAATAGTGTTTTTCTGTTTTCCTTCTTCACAAGGATCTGCCTATTCAGCTAAATGAGACAAAGAGAAGGCTTGGCAAGATTTTTTAAGTGTTGAGATTTTTATAGCTTAGAGATAAAAGATGTATACATAAAGGTCTTTTGCAGCAATGCATTTAATTACAAATATTTGTTTCCAGAAATTGCACAGATTAAACTTGTGGTGCCACTTGTTCATTTTTAAAGGTTAGATCAGTCTGAATTCAGTTCTGATTCCCGAAATACTAGCTGTAATGTTGGGAACAGGTTCTGAAGTCAAGATAATCTTTAAGAAGAAGCAGAACAGAGAACCCTTGCACACACTGATAGTAATTGCAGTTAATTGAGGATTAATAAGACTGGGATAATACATCATAACAGCACTTAGGCACTCCAGAGTTTGATTATCTTTAAATACATTGTTCATGTTCCCCGATACCGGATAATCTGTCAGTCCCCCAAAAGAAGAACTTCAGTACTGTTACTATTCAGTATCCCCTCTGGTGAGTGGTCAATATAGAAACTGCAGACAAATTATTAGCAGCCATAGGTTCATGCCCCCTCCTAGAGATTTTCAAGGCAAGGCTACATGAGGCCCTGGACAACCTGATATCACTGTGGTGTCCCTGTTCATCGTAGGGGAGTTGGACTGGATGGCCTTCAGAGGACCCTTCCAACTGTAAGGATTCTCTGATTCTGTGATAGTGGAAAAAATGTCTCTCCCATTCCCACCATCTGCACTGGTGATCAACTTCTGTGAAATTTTGTAGCATTTAAGCATCCAACTCAGAACTGGGCATTAAGCGGCACTTAGTGTTGATGCAGTTTAAAACGGCTGAAACAGATGAGAGCTTCTTGATAGCCCATAAGCCATTGTGGAGCAACAGAACTGGGTTTTTGCCAACAGCATTACTTCTTCCATTTTCAAAAATGGTAGTCAGTGCAGTACCTGAGGTGGTTCATGGATTGCATCTGAGGTCTATCTTTTATGTACTTTAAGGTCATTCCCTTTAAATGGATCAGACAACATCAGTGTTTTGGGGAAGAAGTCAGGTCAGGTAAAAGTCAATTTATAAAATTATTTTGCTTTTCCAAGAATGTTTTACCAACTAATTTTCTAAATAGCAGCAGAATCTGTGATTTTATTTCTCCCCCATAGAAAATGAAATTTATTTGACCAGCAACACGTAAGGACATTCTGTTAGCATTCAAGAGAAACAATAAGAGATCTTCTCTGATGCTGTTCACAGGGGTTGAATATAACTCAGAGGCACTAATGTCTTCTTCAGGCTTCTGTGTAGTGAATTGGAATTAAAAATCTCCAAGAGCAATTGAGGCTTTAAATTTTGGTATGCAGCTTTGAATTGTCCTGTGCTGACTGCACAGAGATCCCATAGGAAGCTCATTCCCCAGGGCAGAAATCACTCTTTGCGAACCCCTTGTCTCCATTCTGTGAGAATATTTTTTGTTTTCCTCTTTGGGAGTATTTTAAGAGAGGTTACTTTGTGGAAGGAGCGTGTTGGGACATGGAGTGGATATCCCCCAGGTTCTCAGGGCGCTCTTCCACCTGTGTTCCACCAAGTTCCTGTGCTTGTGCAGAGACAAAGGGCAGCTGCTCCAGCGTGGTTTCCTCAAAAATCACAATAACTCACCGCAGTGCATTGCACGCACGGCATTGCATAACCGTGGTGAAGGCTGACTTCACATGTGGCATGCAGAAATACCAGATCTTGTCTTGGCACAGCACAGTAAGTCCGTCTTAATTAACTGAGCAGTTGAGAAATACAAAAATACAGCGTCCCTATCCTTTCAGACAGACAGATTTATGCTTTTCAATATGAATAAAGGATGGGTAGTACCGACTGAGCATTATGGCTTACGTGGCGATCTCTGCCATGAAGTGTCAGATTTCAGGTGTTTCCAAAAAGATTCAATGGATTTGTCAGCAAATCTCAGTAGCCAGCATTACATGAAAACATAATGAGTAAACAAGTTTGATACAGAACTTTTTAAATTTTAAATTGCCATTATTTTTTGAGCGTCTGTTTTATTCAGCACTGTAAAATTGGCTCATTGCAACGGCAGTTTTTACTGGGGGTGAAGATGCAGTATTCCTTATTCTCTATCGTGCTTTCAATTAATGAAATAGATTTAGACTGATTTGTATATATGATTATTTGCTGGAGTAATGTATAACAAAATTAACAGTGTTAAAAATGACATCAGTGATGTTGATGCTTGGGATAAACTTACAGTACAGAGCATGGACAAATAGTTGGACAACCTTTCTCCCCTTTAATAATGGAATAGCAGTGATCATAAATCTCGTTTTCCATTAGCTACACTGAGAATGTATTCTAGTTACCATTTATAAATTTATCTTCTGATAATAAAAGATGTTTAATGGAAAAAATCTCTTTCTCCTTTATTGAAGTTGGATACCTCAAATCAGAGTAAGATTCACTGTTAATACCTTGCTTATTTTTTAGTTTGAACATTGGTTTGGAAAGGTCATGTGAGGAACCACATTTTCCGCAGCAAATGCGTCTAATTTGCCCTGCTACATGCTCACCCAAACACCCATGCATATAAATGCCAGCATTTTCACATCCCTCCTCCCATCAGCAGATGAAAACAAACACGTTTGTGAAAACAAAGCACAAGATGAAGAATTTAAAATAAATTGGAAATAAAAGAAAGTGCTACCTTCTTAAGAAACCAGCTCATATTCCTGTACTATGCTTTTGCCTGTGATTTATAATTGGAGAAGCACACAGATTTAAAGATGATTGTTATATTTTCACAGTGTCATGATAGCATTCCAGTTGCTGTGTAATATGCTTACAAAGTCATACCCATTGGTACCTTAAAAATGCTTGATTTCTGATCAACTGCAGCAGCAAAGCAGGTTTTAGTAGAAAAAACAAGTAGCTATAAGGATACTGCATCTTTAGAAATTGAAATGCATTGAAAGTATTTTACTATACTTGTAACAGTTTAAATATTCTGTAATATATGTGATAGTGGAAAAGTATTTTCAAACTCACGGTTTTTCATGGGGTGTAAATAGGTTAAATGAAGTACATTTTTAAAAATCCTTCCGCTTTCATAAAGAAAAAATTGTTAGATAATGCCTTGCAAAGCTTACACAGAAAATGCTGAGAAGTAAATTATTCTGTTTTGGCAGAAACATTTTCTCTGCAACATGGAGCCGCCACTTTTTTGCTGTTTTGCAGATAGCGTGTGATATAGTGAAGTCATATTGAGTCCTTCAGTATCAAATAAGTCAACATTCAGAATGCCTTTGACTGAGTAAACGAAAAAAACCAAAACACTTAATGAGAATGAAAACCATATGAAAAAGTTTTGTTTTGTTTTCCTTCTGGCAATTTACTGCAGATACAGTACCAGCAAGCTCTCTGATTTTATTTGATTTTATTTGTGCTTGTATTTCCCTGACTACACTGCATCTTGAAAAAAAGGTTGCAGAGCTGAAATAGGCAGCTGTTCTTTGCTGATTCCAGGGGTGTTCAGTCTTCGAGGTACAGTAGTATGCCAACAATCCAATGGTAGCGGGCAGTTGTGACATTTAGAATGCTATATACTCCAGCACGGTAGTCTAAAATCCATTTTAAAAGATGAAACAGAAACTGAAAGTGCCTGTTATTAGAACTGATGGGATGTTCCTATACTTTTACACAGCAATAACTTACGGGATTCTATCAACAATAAGATGAAAATAAAATTAAACTCTGAGAACAATAATGCAGCACAGAAGCAAACACAAAGTGCCATTTGTATTTTCATGTCGATGTATTTTGTTAAGAGTTTTAGTTAGTTTCTCAAATAATGTCTGTCAGATATGTAAGATGAAAATGGATCCTCGTTTACAAATTTCTCATATCCATATGGATTCCAAGTAGGTGTAAATGGAGATCGTTGTGTTTTGTAGCATTACTTCCTAATTTACGTCTGATTTGCCCACAAATATCCATGGTATTCTACAGTAAAATAACCACAAAACCAGCAATGGACCTTCTTCAGGTTATACACCAGAGCATATTCTCTTGAAAAATCCACTACATTGAATTGTGGAGTTCACCATATTTCACTTTTCTATTCCTTTTTGTAATACCAGTGCTTAATACCGTCTTCAAATTGGAGAGGTCAAAATATATCCCTTTTTAAAATTATTATTTTGGGGGAGAAATAAGTGGGGGAAAAAAGGTGGGGACTATCAGTTTAGAGACTATTTGAGTAACAAACAATAAGCTGATATTCTTAGAATGGAGAAAGGATATTTTTTTTAATATTAAGTGGCCTAAACAATTGCATCAATAGGCTGGTGGATCTCACTAGAAAATGACCAGCTGTGTTTCTTCCACTCTGTTTTTTAATTATTTTTAATCTGGTAGGTTTCTGTCAAAAAGAAAAAAAAAAAAAAAATTACTGTTGCTAATGGATTCTTAAAATAGCAGTGTAATGCCATCCCTCATACTTGTGCTTCTAAAAATGAATTTACTGGAGATCAAAATGTAACTGGTTTTCCTAATGCCAAGAAATGCTTTCCATTCCCTAAGCTTGTATGCAGCATTTATCCACGCAGAGCTATGCTCCCATCAGTGGGTTGCTGTTTGAGAGAACAGGTTTTTATTCACCAGGGAAGGAACTGTGTGCACACAAAGACAATGCAGAAGAAAGTGGAGGTGCAAAGTAAAAGCATATGAAACTGCATGTGAAAACTATGACACTGATACATGCAGGTTAATCACGTGATGACCACTGGTTTAGTAACAATTTATACCTGTTGGGCATCAGTGGAAATAATCCCATCAGAACGTGCATATGCTTATTTTCCCATCCCAAACTGAATTTCCAAATATTAAGCAAATAAAAGATCTCATTTCACGCTGGAGGTGTTAGGAGAGCACCAGCGAATGTGTTAGGAGAAAGGAAATGTGAGTTTCTTATATCTGAGCGGCTGTTAGAGAGGAGGTCTCAGTTCACTGCTCTAAAGCAGCAGTGCTCCAACGTGGCACCCATAGAAACCCACAGTGTTCAGTTGACTCCAGCTCTACATTTGTTGGTTCTTGCATAGGAAAGGGCACCGAGGCTTCTACACCATGAAATGAGTGGGGCTTTTTTCATGTCTTTTTGAAAAACAAGAGTTTTTTTTTCTTATTGACTTGCCAGCACCTTGTGCTTACTGATTTCAAATGATGAAATTAACTGAGATACTTTTGAAGTGATTTGTAGACTGTCCAGTAAACAACCATTCAGTCCTTTGGACTAGCAAAACTGAATGCAAGTTCTAGCTGTTGTGAAAATAAGAACTGTACAAGTTATTTGGGATCCTCCTGGCCGTCTGTGTGACTTAAAAGTCACACTTCCCCCAGCTCATTTTCAGGGTGCTCTCACTATTTATAAAAGAGAATGTGAATGGAGGTTCATACTGTGACTTCCTAAACCTGGTTCATGCACCTGGCTGCATTTGGAAAAATCGTTGTCAACCAGGAGACATGCTCAAGTAGCTGATGGCTTTGATGGACTGTCATAAACATGAACCATGAAATGCAGACATCGGTGGTTTGGATGCTGCCTTTCTCCTTGTTCCCATCTTTCTAGATGTAAAGAACTTCTTTGGAAAGGCCGTTTGACCCATAATCTTTGCAGGAGAACTAAACTTTTTCAAAATTCAGATTTGATGTTCTTGTCTCTGGTTTTCTGATTTCGGTATTTTTCACTGCTAGATTTATATCTTATTTTGTCACAAAACAAAAAAAAAGAAAAAAAAAGTTTATTTTTCCCTATAGTCCTATATATTGCCTCCTTTGCAATATAAGTTCTCCATTTTACACCTACACAGTGTGCTCCCTTGACCTGCTCTCTGTCGCTAAGAACTTACAATATCCCATTTGCTCTTACAATAGAATATACACAGAGATAGGAATTAATGACTTAAGCTTCACGCACCGCCAGCCTTAAACCCTTCAACCCACACACACAGACACACACATGCATACGCTTCAAATGAAAGGGAGATTTGGACACTGCTATCAACATGTGGGGTCAAAAATATCATTAATTTGGAAAGTTCTTTCAGCTGTGTTTAGGAAGAAACGGCAGAATAATGAAAAATACCATTCTTGGCCAAGTCATTTACGGATGAAGCAAATTCCCCTATGGCGTTAGTTGAATGAAATCCTAAGAATGGAGTTGCATTTGGCCCCGAACTCTTCCTTATTAATCAGGTTGCTGAAGTTGTATATTCCAATGAGCGTTCATTAGATCCTCCTGTGTAAAAATACAAAAACATCCCTTAGTTTTTAAAGTGATTAATTTGGGACCGAAGGTTCACAGCAATGGAATTAGTGTGTTCAGCACCTCAGTCTTTTTTCCTACGATAAGATGCAAAAGGGAGGGTCATTATCACTAACCCCATAGAGATAATAGTGTCAATAGAAGTCCTATACTTCAAAGGAATAAAAACAGCAGTGCTAGCAAGCAAACATCGTAGTTTCTTAAGTCTTTTCTTTCACCTTCTTTTCAAAAGATTTTAAATGCAAAAACTTCTGTTCTTCAAAAATAATAAAAGTAATTATCTGAAGATCTAATTTCCCAATAGTTTCCTCTGCATTTATATAGTATGTAGTGTTTAGGCAACACCTATGTTATAAGTTTATTAATATTATGTAAGTGTTGTTCTTGTATTTATGTATAGTGTATGTATTGTAAATATACTCAGAGCTTTTTTTCCTCTTCCTGTAAGATGGTGATTTTTTTGCCCTATAATAATGTAAAGGGAACCCCCTAATGAAATTCTGTCAGAGGATGATTATTCCAGTCTATTCTCAAAGATTTAAATGAACAAGTGTTATCGTTTTTAATGGTGTCTCAGACATATTTTGTTGGTGCATTGCTTTTCTGTATTCAACTTTCCTATGAATTGAGCTGTGAATTGAAATAGAGTTTAAACCTTTAAATGTATGCATTTGTATAATTATCTGAATGGAGGCATGAAGGTTAAATAAAGCATTTTGTATGGAACAAACCCCCTAATTATTACTGTGAATGACTCAAGCCTTCTGGAATACCCAGCTATTAACTTTTTAAATTAAACCTTTGTTAAAAAAAAATCTTTTCTATAAACATATAGTGATTTTTTAAATGGAATGTTTTCTTAAGAAATGGATTTTACTCGCTTTTCTGATTTTTTAAAAGCCATCGTATAGAGTGCACATTCTTTCTCCTTTCTCAGTGTTTGTGCATCTGTGGCAAGGCTGGAACAAATAAAATAGCACTCAGCAGTATAAACAAAATTGAGCTGGGATGATATAAAAATATTTTGCATTACTATATAATCTGACTTCCTTACGTATTTTAAAATGGAATTCTGCATCTGCCTGTTTTCTTTTTTCCCTCTTCATCCCCCATTTGTAGGGATGCAATTAATTTATAATGGTCTTAAGATGCCCACGCCGCTGAGAGAGGATTTGCTCATTGTGTGCATGTCAAGTGAAGGAATAGCTGTTGAAGGTGGGCTTTGGTGAGCTGGAGCATTCAGTTTTGTACTTAGATGAAGTTGGGTGGTATTTGGTGATTGCTTCTAGGGACATTTTGAGATCCATAGGCTGCTCCCTCATGTTTTTTCCACAAAGTTTCCTTTTTGTTTGAGCCAGCATTTAGGACAACTGTGGAGATGAAGTCAGAGGTTGTGAGCTACGCTTTTCCCTTAGTGGTGAAACTTCTCCTTAGGTGTCCTTAAATGGGGTTTTCCTTGCAACACCAGTTATTTGCTTTTAACGAGTATGATAATTTATCTAATAAAAGCCTCACTACTGCATGGTTATAAGCAGGAAAACAAGTAAACAAAGAGATTTGGAAACCTTGGAGCCTTAACAAGAGATGTGTCTAAACCAAAACCCTGCTTGAACAGATCTTGGATGTCTGAATATGAACATCAGTTCGTCCTGCTAGTCCTTCCAAGGTACTTCTGCTCTCCACACAATGCGTTATTTGTTATTCCTCAGTGTCCTGACTGTGCTTAATACATTTTTCTCCCCACAGTGCCATAAGTGTAAAGCACATCACTGCCTGTTTAGTCTGATGTCTCCAATGAACGCCCACACCGTCCACTGCCCTGACCCGTGATCTGTTCCTGAAAAGTTATTTCTTCCACTTGCACAAGCAACAGCTCTATTGTCTGCTAATCTGTCCTCCCCCCCTTTTTTTGTTATTGAACGGTCCGTTTGGAGTGAAAAGTCCGTCTGTGTGTTTTTATTCACCATTATGCAGCATACTCAGCCCACTGTGTGCATGATGAGGAGTGGCTGCTGGTAACCACCTTCAGTTTTGCACGCTGAGCTGCTGCTCAGATAAGTAGGGATTTCTCGCTACATGTGGAAACGATCACAACAGCAGCATCCTTGAACCTTGGGAACCCACCCGCCTCCTGAATGGAGCTCTGACAGTGCAGACTTTCACCTACAAATTTATGATGCCATTCCTCCTCACCAACGTGCAATAGGGAAGCACACCAATTTTTGGCTCAAAAACCTGTTTGCTGTACTCCAGCCTGCTGCACTGTGACCGAGGCATTAGGTTCTGGCTGCAAGTTGAAAGGGTGAGACTATGGGAGCCAAATTTTGGTGGCTGGTGGGAATTTTACCTTTTCCAAAGAAGAGCCACCCTTGTGGGGCAGACTGCTCTTGGACAAAAACAGTCTCTTCAGTGCAATGGTTGCAGTTCATGCTGTGGAATCATGCCCTTTGTCAGCCCTCCCATCCTTGCAAACTGGACAAAGTTGCAACCTTTCTACACACAAAGAACTAAAGGTGATCAACAAAGCTGGGGCGACTCAGGAGTTGGGTAAGAAACAACAGAACTGCAGAACTGCAGAATGGTTGAGGATGGAAAGGACCTCTAGGCCCACCTGGTCCAGCCCGGCTCCAGCAGAGCCACCTCAAGTGGGGTGCCCATGTTTGTGTACAGGCAGAAGATCACCAAGGAGGAGAACAAACAACCTCTCAGGGCAGCATGTGCCAGTGCTTTGCCCTCTGCACAGCACAGAAGTGCTGTCCTGATGTTCAGGACAGTGCTAACCACTTCACATCTCTACCTGCCTGCTTCAGCCATTAGGCAGAACTTTTTTTCCTCACTGAGGTTTTGACCCAGTCTGTAACTGGCCACATTTTTCTTCATTCAGGGTATTTTCTCTGAGAGGCCCTGAATAACAGCAGTAGCCACTACCCTTCCTGCTGGAGCATACTAACGAAGGCATTTACTGCCTCACATATTTGCCTTAGCAAAAATATATAGCCCATAATAACTGTGGCTGCCACTTAGGGAGGAATGAATAACCAGATTTAGCCAGTAGGCTCAAATATGTCAATATATTTTATCCCTCGTGTTTTTGTTTATATCTTTGCACAACCTCTCTCACAGATGCACTGTGCCCTTTCCTGGTTATCTTTCTCATTCACTGGGGATATTGATCTATAAAATCTCCTTGTAAAATATCTCCAGTGATTTTTTTTTTTTTTTTTCTGGGGTGACTTCTCTACACATGTATTTTTGGGGCCATACAGAATATCAACAGACAGAAACTAACAATAAAGCCCAGAAATGACTGCAAAAGCAAACACTGAAACCAAGACACTTGCAAAGCTCTATAAATCTCCAGCAAGATCAGGTTGCTGTTTAATCTTTATATACAGGTACGTCTCAAGGTTATCTGCTCCTGTGGGGTTCACTGCAGGCTTTTGTGATTTGTCATCCACTCAACTCCTTATCAGTCGAAGGTATTTCCCCTTGTAACATTTATTATGGGCTGTCCTCTGTGTTTCTTACTCATGCCGTGTAGTCAAAGAATGCTGATATGCAGTCTGTAAGGAGTTGCTAAATTTCCCCCTCTGTGACCAATTGACCAATGGGATCATAAATGTGACATGCACAGTGTAAGATAGGCAGCACCACAAATGGGGAACTCTGACATCGTTCCCTTCTCTGCATAGTGAGTGAGAGAAAGGGAATTAGCAGCTCTATAAACTTTTCCACCAGCACTGATGTGGTCACTGATTTCATTTTAACAGAGATGAATCCAGCCTTTGCTGATAGATACAACCATACATTGCCATGTCTGAGAAACCAGCAAGTTTGGGAGAAGAGTGCTCCAAAACTGCTCTATTGCTGTGATGGGATGGAGCCAGTCTCTGTGTGGCTGAGGCAGGAACAGCAGCGGATGTCCTGGGATACAGCTTCTGCCTCCAAAGTCAGGTGGAAGTATGTTAGATCCACTCAACGGGAGGGCCGGCTGCTGCAGGACACTATCTATCTGCCACTGCTCCACAGCTTTATCGAGCACACAGAGCTCCTGTAATTCCCATTTGTTCTTAAACACAGGTGTCAATGGCTTACTGGCTGGTTCGGCCCGGTTCCGTGACCAGCGGGGCGGAGGGATCCGCAGATCCGGAAAAGGGAAACAGGAGACCCCAAAATAAGTGAAAACATCGGCAACGATCTGAGGTGGAACAAACTAATTTACTAAATATAGTATCAGCAAAATATAATGAGAGTGAGAGAGAGTGTCTGAAAGGTGGATAGCCCCACCACAACGCTGAGGTGAGAAGTGCAGTCCAGTTGAGCCGATGAAGAAAAGCAGATGGAGAAGCGCAGGCGAAGAAGAGCAGGCGAAGAAGAGAGCATCAAGTGACCTTGCCAGGAGTTATATCTCCTTGCTGACCAGAAAGCCCCATGGGGAAATGTAGTTCTTCTCCTCCAGACAGGCACCCGGAACTTGAGCATCAGCAGTCAAACCCCCAGTGCATTACATGGTGTTATGGTGTGGAATACTGATAACCAAAAATCATAAAACCATGACAAAAGGCAGTGTCCAGACTGACACCAGAGGTCTGGCTGGTAGCACATACAGGCATGCAAGTATAAATATTTGTACGTAGGTTCAACATACATGCACAAGCATACTGTCATGCCCAAGCATATAAGCACGGAGTGCTTTAGTCACCTCAGTGAGCACATATCTCTAAGCACAAGGAGAATTAATGACAGTATCTTTGGAGTTAGGTGATCACACCGAAGTCAAACCCATGGAGCCATTTTGGAGATCTTTAAGATATTAGATCCAAAAGACCAAGAGAAGGACATGAATGCCCAGCCTCTCCTTATGCTTAGTGCCACAACTGAGCTGATTTTTCAAGGGGTGCCCTGAAGGCGCTCTCCATACCTGACCTGTTGTCATTTTCCATGCAATCACCATGAGCCCAGCCTGAGCCTGGACTACAAAGTCCATCTGACAGGCCTGGCCACCTGAGGAGGGTCCCCAGGCCACTGGAACAACCTAGTGTCATCCACACTGTGCTGCCATCATCACACATGTGAAGTGGATGAGGGAGACACAGCCCTGGGGGTCAGCAGGGGCACAAAGCAGAGGTTTCTCCCACCAGAGAGGGGTTAGGAGCTTCATTTGTCATGGTAACAGCAAACCTGTAATTATCCAATGTGAAATTGATCTCCACACATGCGAACTGGCAACACAGCTGTTTGAGTCAGATAGTGAAGTATGCGATCTGTTTATGAGGTGTGTTCCCCCCAAAATTGGGAAAAAGTCAGCATTTCTGCAAGGCTTTTTGGTATATTTATTTATTTACCAGGGATCATTTGTACCAGCTGGAGCTTTTCAGCTTAACTGGGAGTAAACTGAGATTTCTCGGATGCTACAGGCATGCCAAGAAGGGAATGCTGTAAAGGCTTTAGAGCAAATAAAACAGAGAAAGAAAAGCAGTTCATCGTGACAAGCGGAGGGAGGAGAACACAGGGCCCACGCCGTTCTTCCTTGGAGCTGCTTTGTTTCCCATTTTGTTTGACATCTATAATCAAAGCCTCAGCACCCCTGCTTCAGTTATAATAACTTTGCTTTGGTTATTACATGAGGCTTTGCAGATGAACACACAACACGAGTTTTTAGCCTCCGGCACTGACCACTCCCAGACAAGATGCTTGTTCCTGTACCACAGTACGTGTGCTTCTGCAAGTTTCGTTTATCACAAAGCAGCAGTACAGACACAAGGAAAGTACAGCAGGAGCCAGG